ACGGTACTCGAAACATGACATTTCAGAGTATAATGTCGACACGTTAACTACGCCTTCGATCATAGGGCAGATGTGAATTACAAGGATGGCCAGGCATTTTCCCATATTACATACTGTGGTGGGATTTTCTATGAAGCAACTTTACGTTTAGAGGTTGTTTGACCTTGTTTTCACAACTTGGTCATATTGGTAGGAAGATTTAGAGGAACGCACCTTGTCCGGAGTCGATTGTATGCATAATCATTTCCAAAGTCGGACCGTGTACGTGGTACATTCCCAGACGTTTCGCCGGCATCGTAGTCGGCATCGTCAGTGATTCTCGCCATTCTTTGCACCATACTACAACTCGTCAGAGACAAGTGAAGCCCATCCTTTGACTAAACGTGTGCTAAACAGTCGTGGTATCTCCCCTTCTGTCCTGGAGGATTCACATTTACCTAAATCCTCCTATCACACCTACACTATTACAATTTGTACCGTGCTTATTTCGATGTAGTGTGGTGTGCTCCTTTGAGCAGTATTTTTGAAAACCCTTCACACTTCACGCTGGCGTTCTCACCCCCTTCAATCTTGTACTGGGAATGTTGATCAGAGTTTGCCATATTGTTACGCCGTTCTCCTTCCCTAGGTCTTATCACAGCCTCTCTCTTCCCCCGTCAGATCCGTCTGCTCTCTCATTGGTTCACGTATGTTACTCAACTCCTGCCACTCCATCTGTGCTACTTGAGGCGTTATTCGCCCTCCTCTGCGTCTGGGTGACTAATTTAAGGCTTAACTCTGTAAGTCTCATGAACCACATCTCTGGTACAACAGACCTACTGTCAGCCAACTAGCTCCAGTCTCAGCCGCGCCTATCCTGTTTCTATCGTTACTGCCAAGTCTATGAATTCCTATGCCCCAATCTTGTGTGCGAACCCACAAATGCTGTGGTTCTACTTGTTTTGATTAGGCTCACTGAAAACGTCTCCTCTTTGCTTCTGATTGTTCCTTTCTGGTCCCCTTACGATTTATTTTCCTAAACTTAAGGATGTAACCTTGATACAGTCGTCTTCTTTTTGCTGATCTTACTGTTGCCTGATATTTTCAGAGTTCGTTTAGGCAATATGCAAAATTTTAGCTGATCCTCTCTTCTTCAAGTCTCCTGTTCATTAGATTTCTCTCGGTCAATATATTGATGGTCTCTTTGATCTTGCGTTTTCTCGTATAACCACCATGTTCAGCCAGCTTTTTTGTCGATTTACAGTCGATTTCCTGCCCCGTTCGTGCAATATGTTTCGCTATTTCGGATCTTTCCGTATCAATGTTCTTGCAAAGTCTTTGATGTTCCTTGATTCATAGGCCGATTTTTCTTCCTGTTTCCCCAATATACTTCTGCTCAAAGTTGCCGCATTTGATGCGATAAACTCCCGAGCAATCAAATTTGTCAGTCTTCTCCTGTTGCTTAGGCAGACTGATGACAAGTGTTTTCTTATCCTTTGTTATCACCTTGATATTACATTCCCTTAGTAACGGTCGCAATTGTTGGCTCATTTCTGATGAGGGCAGGAAAATCTACTTTTGGTTGTCATCCTGATTCCCGGTCTGATTGTCATAAAATCCAAGTTGAAATCGGCCCTTTATAATCTCTACATTTTTTTCTATAAATTGTCTGGGATATCCGTTACTAAGGCAAATCCGTGTCAGTTTGTCCAACTCCTCGTCCCATAACTCAGTGTCCGTTAGTCGTGAGCTTCTGATGATCAAACTCCTCAGTATTCTGATCATCAGTCTGTAGTTATGATGAGACTGAAAATTAAGGATTATTCCCGCATAGGAATTCGTTCTGTATTGTCTCCTCATGATTGTCCCTTTCGAGCGCATGACTTCAATATCCAGAAATAATATTTGTTTATCCTCCTCCACCTCCATTGTGAATTTAATTATTTCATCAAGTTGATTAATGAGAAGAGGGATTCATACAGATTTTCCTTAGCATGTTACTAAAGTGAAACGTAGTCATCCAAGTATCGCATAAGCACTTTTGGTCGCAGCGGTAGCTTCTCGAATTCTTTCTCCAATATGTCAATGTGCACATTTTCCAAAAGAGGTGAGAGTCGAGATCCCATCGGTAGTCCAAATATTTGCTCTTAGATACTGCCGTTAAATGTAAAATATGTGGTCCTTCCTGTCAGGTTGATCAGTTGTCTAAACGATTCTTTCCGTACCCGTTCTGCCTCCAGGATGTCCCCCTCTCGCTCCAATATCTCCAGCGAAGCCCTCACTGCCTTCTAACTTGAGATGTTTGTGTGCATGGATTGTACATCGAAACTCACCAACAGTTCCGACGCCACCAGCCGAATGTTCTGGATCCTCTAAAAAACTTCATATGAATTCTAAACGGCATTCGAGAGTCTGTTATTTACTTTATTGAGCTTCAAGCAAATCAATTTCGCTAGTTTATGCATTGCTCCATGATTGTTGTTAACTATTAGTTTTAGAGGATTACCTTCCTTATATATCTTCGGTAGTCCGTAGGCTATCGGTTATCTTGCGTGATTTTTGATTAAAGATTTCATCATCCATCTGTCAGTTTTCCCATTAGTATGCATTTCCTTGAACATATTCTTCAGTGTCCCGTTTATCTTCGTGGTTGGATCCTTACTTAGAATTTGATAAGTTTTCCGCTGGCTAAGGATACTTTCCATTTTCTCCGTGTAATGTTTCCTGTCCATTACAACCGTAGCTCCTCACTTATCCTCCTGAAAAACTATTTGATCATTCTTTTGTATACTAGCCAAACGGCTTCTGTATCTCGGTTCTTGATGTGTCAGGATCCGTGAGATTACTGCCAGTTCCATCTCTCGCCTTGTCTCTTCTGGATATTTGTCCGTTATTTTGACAACTTCCACCATGATATCACTCAGAACTTTTCCTTCATTACCTGGTGAAAAATGTAACCTTTTCTCTAAGAGATCCGTAGTTTCAAAATCAAGAGAGATTAAAGATAAGTTTACCACCTTAGTCCTATCGCCCTTTTTGGCAGTTGATGCATTCAATAAAGAACCATCAAGATTTGTCCGTTTGGCTTGGTCTTGCGTTATCTTATTATCCCATAGCTAAGCAATTTCTTGACATGTCGCTTTTTATCAGATCCTTGACCCTCTGTGAAAATCATCCAAAGCGAGAACCCTACCTAAATCCTTCCTTAATCTAGACTTGAGATCTATGAACTTAAATAGCTTACTGTTAGGAAGATTTAGAGGAACGCACCGCACAAAAGACTACACCATCTTGGTCTTCATATCTTCGATTAATAAGCTTACGCCTCTCAGTCTCGTAACTTTCCTCTAATTTCTGGATGGAAGCGTGATAAAGTATTTCATTACATGTGTCAGAATGATACTTCCTCATTAGAATGCAGAAACGGAGAACGATACCATAATGTTTGCAACAATTCAAAAAGGCCAAATGACAGGATTGACTTACAATTGTCTTCTTTGTCCGGCTGTAATTAGTGC